GTTGAAAAGCAGGAGGTTTACAAGTCATTTCATTTCTTTCAAGAGAGATACATCATATGGAGGAAATAAATAAAATGGTTTTTACAAAAGTTATTTTCAGTGCCTGGTCCCTGGTGGATAATTGGGTCTATGTGGTTTCATGAGCAGCTTCTAACTGGGGATTTTTCCCCACCAGTTTTGGCTCAGCCAGGCAGAAATCCCCGTTTTGAAGCCCCTCTGTGATGGCAGCAGGACCTGGCCCAGGAGCACGTCAGCATTTCCTTCTCACTCTGACAAATGTATCTTGGAACTATTCCTGTTCCAGTTCCTGCCTTATCTCCAAGACTGTGGGCAGGGTAAAAACTGCCTTTGCACAAATGCATTTTTCCTAAGGTCCTGTGTGCTGAGGGCCATCTTTTACTTGCCAAAACCCCAGACTGCAGCTCCACTCTGAGGTTTTCAACACATTTTTAACTATTTCACTCCCAAACTGCAGGCAGTTTACTGGCCAGCCATGAAATGTTTGTGTTCATGCTCTTCTTTGTCTCCCTCTCACCGGTCTGTGTTAAAATTTACACAAAACAAAAGGGGGGAAAAAAAAGAAAATTACTGTCATGTATCATCCTAAGGAAAATAAAGTTAGTGTGTCTTATTTGCAGTAGTCATGAGGGATTAGAAGCAGAAGCAAACATTTATCTGGATCAACTGATATATCATGATTGTAGCTTACTTCCCCCCCCCCTCAGAGTTCCATGGTGTTAAAATTTTGAGGATGAATTATGCCAAGTTTTGAGTATCCCCTGTTAGTTGCTACTTGCCCTCACTTCCAGTCCAATTGCTTGAACTGACTGCTGTCAGCACTGGGTAGAATTAAGAGTCCTCCTGGAAAAGCATCCCCAAACCTACAAAAATAACTGCAAAAGAACTGAATGGGGCAGGTGTGAAAAAAGAGCAAAGAGGGCTAACACAGGAGAGATGGTTCATTGAACTGAAGGGGACCAGGTAGTAGCTGAATTTTCAGTATTATAAATAGGACATTATGTAGCTGAACTAAAAATAGGAGTTTTATTTTTACTTGATGTTCCTTGCTGCTGGCTGCTGACCTAGAGAAAGAGGACTCAGAAAGGAGAATTAAACAATTCCCCACAACCATGCAAAACAAAACCACCAGCCTGGCTCCAGTGCCTGTTTGCAAGCTAAGAAGAATACAATTTCTTTTAAACCAATTTCAAAAGATGTCTAACTGAAAGAGCTCCCTAATGCTGCTACGAAAAGAATGCAATAGAATACAATTTCTGCAGAAAACCCAGTGCAATTACAAATTCCCTGTCTACATAACTTGATATAACAGAAAATGGCTGGTGTATCTCCTCTGATTCCTTCACCCACTCTGGGTGTGTGCAACTGCTCTCCATGCTGGAAGCACCCTCTGCTCAAGGGTAACAACACATTATCATTCCAGGACTGGCTTTCAAGGCAAGATTGAGGGGTCCAGCAAAGGTCTGGAGGAAAATGTGATGTCAATTTGCCACCTGCCAACAGTCTCAGGGCAGCACCTTCTGTTCTTCCCTTTCCTGAGGACCAATTTGACACTTAAACAGAGAATCCAAATTTAGCTACAGTAAAATGGCAGCTTTGCTGGCCAGCTGCTGAGGTGGTTGTTCATACTTTGTTTCATTTTAAAAAGGAAAAAAAAAAAAAAAAATAGCACAAGCCTAAACCACTGAATCTGGATTCAAGTTTCAAGCTCACACAATCTAATTCTCAGGACAAAAGTGACTCGAAACCATGGTTTTGGTTCTGCTTACAAAGATAAGAGGAAGTTGTAAAATAAAACCAGGTCTGAATCTGAACTTAAGTTCACAGATGTTTAAGTCCATGGCATTTTGGGGGGGGGGGGGGGGGGGGGGTGCATCACTAAAATCTAAGGATCTTGATAGACTTGAGGTTTCCCTGGGCTATTTTTGGCTGTATCTGCTAAATCCTGGATCTTTGCAATATACCACAGACCCCAAGGGGCTGTGCTCAAGTATTTATCCATCATCACTTTTGCAGGGAGCTGAACTGAAGATGAGAATATGGTGATTTGACTTTGAAGAGTAAGCCATAATGACTTAAAAGATTTTATGGCAACAACAAAAATAACTTGCATCACTTGTCATTGCTGGTAACGCTGAAATAAAGGTATTTATTATAAGAAATTGTTTATACTTATTTATGGAAAAAAACTTAGCATTTGTGTAGTCTGCATGCAAATCTTCCAGTCAGTCATTCTTTCTCATGGGCTGAAAAATAGCAAATTCCTTATTTGCTGTATTTGTACACCATTCACATCCTTCACTATATTAGTGATCTGATTTGTTTGGGAATGGCAAGACTCAGAACATAATTCTGCACTTAGCTTAAATAATTCTAAAATGCAGGTTAGCACAGAAACAGATGATAATTCCAAACTTCTTGCTGCTGCTAAGCTATTTTAGCTTCTCTCGCTGTCAAAGCCAAGTCAAACACACCTAAATTAAAATGCCTATTTGCAGTGTCTCAAAAGACAACAGAAAGATTAATGTATTTTGTTTTCTCTCCCGATTTTTGGTAATACTTTTTCACTTTTCATATGTTGGATCAAAATCCCCAAATAGAAGTAAACACCCTCACTAAGCTGCAGGGTTGTATTACTGCTGGGTTTTGATACAGCAGGGAGAGGAGAGAAAAACAAGAACCATAACCCTTCCATATTGGAAAAGTTGACTAAATTGGCCATTTCCTTTCTTTCGTTGGACAACTTTTTACACATTTACACATAAATAAATAAATACACATACCCCACCACTTCAAATGTAGCTTTGGATGCTATGAGTAATTTCAACAGACCTACACTGGTGCCTTTACTTTTTCCCATTCCCCCTCCTTAAGAACAGAAAAGAATTGCTGGGCAACCTCTGAAACCCTCCTGGCAGCACATGGAAGGGACACAACAACTAAGGAAAAGACACAGCCAGCCCCAGGTGGACCTGACCTGCATTTGCCTGGTGTGACCCACATCTCTTAAGCCCCATTTTTGGTGTAAGGGCACGAGGAAACCTCAACTCAGCAGGACCACAATGCACTGACACTGGCCTGTTGATCTATGGCCACGAACAATGCCAGCCCCAACAAGCTACAAATAAAAGTCACAGTGATTAATGTCCCAAGTTCTTTCCCAGAAAATCAACCTATTAAAACAGAGATATTTTCATATGGACAAGGTTCTTGCAGCTCAAAGGGAGAATTCTCACTTCCCCTGCAGGTGCCTTCCCTTTCTGCTTCCCCAGCATAAGGTGTAGGACACAACTTCTCTATGCAGTATCTTCTAACACATGGCAAGATGATCTAACAAACAACTAGAGACAACATTGTAACATCTGCAGTAAGCACTGGACACTGGAACTGGTTTCCACTTGATGCACCACTCCCTGTAGCAATAATGCAACTTCCCAACCAGGAGATTTAGTTCCACTGCTTCATTTTCACCCTCCCCTTCAGCACAGCCCCAGCACAGAGACAGAAGCCCTTGAACACAAACCCAGCCCCAAAAAATTCGAGGGAGAATGTTTAGCTCTGGTTATGACCAGCTCATTTAAGAGGCTCCATTCTGAATACCAAGCAGGTCCTGAGGAAAGTTTTAGGTTTCCACGTCAGTGCCCCATTTTAGCCCTCACACCATCTACTCTTGGCCATCCTGCAAACAGAACCAACAGCAGCACAGCTGCATCACAGCCAGGGCAAACTGGCTTCCTGAAGAAACCTCTAGTATTTACATCTTTTCCTCACACCAAATGTCATAACTCCAACCAGCCTCTTCTATTTTCCTAGTTAAAACAAACAAACCCTCTTATCACTAAAAACATCTCAAATCCAATTCTCCACAGCTGTTCCCTCTGTGACAGGGAACAGCCAACAGGTTTTGGATTGTTTGCTGCCACACACCACACACTTGTACATCCACCTAAATGAAGCCACTGCGGACCAATTATGAGGATTCTGTTATTCCATTTGGACTTACTCATTTGGGGATTTGATTTTTGATTTGTTTTCCTCTGAGGTTTTTTTGGAAGCACTAGTGGGATGGAGTTTAAATTAAATCGGGACCATCAGCATCCCAAAGACAACTATTCAGTAGCACACATTTAATATTGATTTAATATGATTATGTGGGCTGTTTGTAACCGCAGCTGTCTAACTAATGCCACTTAGACACAAAGCACTTCATATATTCATTACCAAGAATGTTAGAATATGAACCAAACCAAAACACAGCTACATAATCCACACAAATATTTAGCTCTGAAAGCTACAGGAAAGTTTAAGAATTAAAGCTGAAATTGTCAATTGACATAGACAGCTGAGGTGAATTGTTCCCTGAATTGCACACATGGTCTAAGTGCCACTGAATAAATAATTACAATACTATAAAATATCCAAGCAAGTGACAACCACTATGCCACCCAAAATGAATCACTAAGAAAACAAATTGCAACAATGCCAGTTGTCTTTGAGGATGACCTTACATTCCTGGCTTCTTCCAGAGCCAGGTGCAGTTCCAATATCATGCTGAACTCTGGAAAACAGGAATGCCTGCATTAGGGCACAACATTGCTGTTTCCAAAACACCTGTTATAACTAGCAATCCAGGGGGCTGGAAAAGAGGGAGGTATAGACTTCTAATCCTACCAAACACAGGATTATTGGGAACGTCAGTGCCAGTCTCTGCTGGGGTTTGTGACCAGGGCCCTGCTCGGGACACAGCAAAGTCCAACCACGTTTGCTTATTTCAACAGCACTGTTCTGAGCGCAACATCCACTTCACTTAAATAAATAAAAAGCACAGTAGGTGGTAAATAAAATAGGATTGTGCAAGAGAATTTGGCATCAACGAGCTATCAAGAGCATCCATATGACTATGTCAGGGCACGGGGGGGGTGGTCTGTGAGAACTCTTGGCCACGAGTGAAGAGCGTGGGTGTCGCTTTATGTGTGTTTTACCCGAGGCAGAGACCGCGGCAGGGCCGCGCGGCGTTCAGGGGCGGTGGCACCTGGCCAGCACCCAGCACGCTGCTCTGAGGAGGGCTGAGGCCATTCCCTGGCACAGCACTATCACCTGGGGACAGCACCGGCTCCTGGCACAGCACCGTGCCCTGGCACAGCCCACACACCGAGGAGCGGGGCCAGCACCACGCGGGCACCGCCAACATGGCGGCGCGGCCTCACAGCCCCGCCCGCGCGCCGGGGAGGCCACCGCCCCCCGCACAGCGCGGCCGCTGGGCGGCGCCAACGGGGCGCGGGACGAGGCATGAGGGGAGCGGGGTGAGGGATGAGGGGAGCGGGGTGAGGGTAATGGGGTGAGGAGTGAGGGTAATGGGGTGAGGGGAGCGGGGCGAGGGATGAGGGGAGGACTGGTCGGGCCGGGCCCGCAGAGCCTGGCGGCATTCCCGGCGGCTGCCAGGCGGCGAGTGGAGCCGGCGCTGCCGGCCGCGCTGATCCCGCAGCGCTGGCGGCTCGCCCCGGAGCGGCCCCGGGAGGCAGCTCCGTGCCCGCCGCCGTCCCGGTCTGGGCACGGTCACGTCCGGTGTCTGTGGGCTGGCAGGTCTGCCAGGGCTCGGGAAGAACACTGAAACATTCCCAGTGTTCTTCCTGGCAGGCTGTAAGGAAGGGTTTTCCAGCCGCAGTCAGCGCTGGCAGGGTGGCACGGCCGGAGCGCGGCCCCTTCGGCTCAGCGCAGTCAAACTAGTCAAGCCCAGGCTGCTGGCAGGAAAGGTCAGGAATACTTTTCAGTGACAGATTTTCTAAAAATTAGACCGCTGATGTCATGCAAACAGAACACGTCCTCTGTACCCCGTGCTCTCAGCACCTCAGTGTTGGGGATGTCATGGCCATATCAGCGTTCCCATGGGTCAGAGACACTATCCACATTCCTTACGGCTTTTGACGCTTTTGCCAAGGTAAAACAAATCTCCAGGTTCTGGGTGGCTGATGGCTGCACTGGGGATGAGTTCTGTCAAGCCAGCAGTAACATCTTTCCAGATAATCAATGTCCCAAAAGATTTTTCTGCTCAGTCACCTTTTTGAATTGTGGTTTCTAGGGGTCTACATAAAACCCCAATAAAAGTCTGACTGGTTAAAGCTCCATATCAAAGTTTGCAGCCCTTAAAATGTCACCAAATAGCTCAAAAGAGTAATTTTAAAGCGTAGTGGTTCACAAGAGCCATTTTTAGGCTAACTATATATTTTGTTCCCATTGATAAATTTTCTGCTACACATCAATTGAAAAAGGTTTGGGGAACCCAATGTGAATTTAGTATTCACTTAAAAGTTTTTATTAGTAGACCTTCCTGTACCACGAGGCAGATTCTGCTGATGAGCAGCACAGTTACCACTGAGCCTGTAAACTAAACAATCTAATGGCACCACTAAGATTTGCTGATACTCCATTTTAGTCAATGTTAATAAAATTGAACGTGTAACTTAAGTTACAGCCGTAAAATGCTTTATGTTCCTCAAGTAGAGAATCCACTTTGCTCAAGCACAAGTGTTAACAATTAATTTTTAACTATCACATTCTGGTATCATAGTTTTCTTGTTCATGTCCTTTTAGGTATTCCACAGAAATGTGTTTTCAGTTACATCAGAAAGATTTTGTATTAGAAGTCAGGCATTCTTTTGAAGCACGGGCAGTGCCAAATTAAGAACTGCCTGACTGTTGAATGTGGTGTAAAGCTTCAGCAAAGTGCTTAACACACCAGAAATATTCATTACAATGATTCCCAGTTAGGGTAGGAATAACTAACTTCCCAGCTGCATATTTTAGAAATAGTTATTCACATTGGTCATTCCTGTGGAGTGTGCACCACGACTACATCTCTTACGGGGTCTTTTTGAGTACAGTCTGACACTCAAGAAGTTCTGCACGCCCAGAAAATTCACAATTAGCTCATCTCTGTGTTGGTGAGCAACTACCCAACTGTTTGAATTACCAGTGTGTCAGCTGGGAATCAGATGGGGAAAAGGAAGTGGCCACAACACTCCCAGGATTACAGTTCTCACCCAAATTGTACAGCCAGCTCAACTGAATCAAGGCTTTACTGCAAAGTCTAGAAAGTACACAGTCTTTATCTGCACAAAGGACATAATTCCTCAAGGGTGTTACCAGCTGAAGAGGAGCAGGGAAAGAAAAATGGTACATTCATAATATATCAACACTCAGCATTGCAGCTCAACAGCAACAGCAGATTCAAGTGCTGTTGTAGAAAGAACACCAGAGCAAGGACCAGCCCTGCTGCTCTGACACCATGTGCTGTTATTCAGCACAATATCTTTCCTTCTACTAAAAAATAAATAAAAAATAAAACTAAAAAGAAGGAATACAAGATGTCCTCATTTAGTTTTCCACCAAGAGAAAGTACACAAGCAATAGTGTTACCAGGTATTTCTGGTAAAGCTGGAGGGATTTGCTGGACAGTTATCACACCTTTGCTCTGTACTCCTGTCCACATATCCTTGACTTTTATGGTGCTTCAGGATGGAAAATCCTCACTGCTGTGGCCGGGCCTGGATCAGAGCTGCCATTTGCCCTTTTAGTTTCTCCCTTCTTCACTTTCCCATGTGAAATGTCCATGAGCTTCTCACACGCAGCACAACACAAAACCACACCAAATTTCTTTTTCTCTTCTCTCTCAAACATGCTCTTTTCAGAAGCAACAATAGGGGAAATACTCCTACAGACAAATGACATTACAATACAGTTCCTCCAAAGTCTTCATAGATAAAGTTTATTTCAGCCAAGGCATCCCCCCTCACCACTCAGCTCACTTTAGAAAACAAGAAAAAACCACATTTACCATTTCACCTTTTCCCCTTTCTCTGTCAGAGAAAGCATAAATATTATTGCACCAGTGTTCCTCCACTTCAAGATCAAATTAGCAACATAAACTCTCTCAAACAAAAGGAACAAAACCCCCAGCAATCAATGGGCACTCTCATCTCACACCACTAGTGGGCAATTAGCAAAGAGAAACAGAAGGATGAACAAGATCACACTTTCACTAAGTAAACAAAGCTTATCTGTAAAATAGAATTATTGCTAAATGTAGTTCAAAGTATCAATAGAAATTGTGTGTTCCATTTGGTCTTTCATTCACTAAGCACATTGATCTTTGAAAGCACGATTCTGACTAATGAGCTGTGTTAAGTGGCTCTCGGATTTTTTGTTTTGTTGCTGTGTGAAAGATCGGGGCTCACAGAAGCTGATGAAAGAAACAAAAGCTTCAGCGCTTCTGCTCTCAGATGTCAGCCTCTCAACCTAATCTCTGGAACAATTCTCAGTTTATTTATTTACTTAAAGACTACAAATCCTATTTCAGAGCTTGCCTGAAGTAGGCTGCGTCATCTCAAAGGGAAGAAGAATCAGGGATGCAGAGTTCCCAAATGGGGGGGGTCTCTATAAAATACTCTTTAAAAATAGCAATAAAGGCTGCAGCACTTCCAGCCATTCACACATTAAATCAAACAGTGCATCATTTACTTGTTCTAAGAAAGCAAAAAGCACATGAAGTTGCAGAAACAATTGCTTCAGCTTTTCTTGGAACTTTCACTGAAAACAGTTGTGGTTATGTTTCACCAATTTAACTGGGTCCATCCAGGTATTGAAAACTAAATACAATAATTCACATTTCAAAAGAGATCACAAAATACAGTTTTCTTCCAAAACTAGGGGCATGTACCACTTTCAAGATCGAGTTTCAACAATGGTTCTTCCAACAAACCATACAGCTCGCTGCAGAATAGGCACCCTTTTTTCAAAAGGTTTCAAGACACTTTGTGTATTTGGCTGAATAAAATTAATTTTTTTTAAAACCAGTCTTTTGTTGCTTGGCAGAACAGAGGTGTTATTTAAAAGTAAGGTGAATGCAGCAGACACACAGAGAAGCAGCAGCTCCACCACAGGACAAGTCAGTGAATGTTTGTGAAATCTGAATTCAGTGACTTGTTGAAGACTCTCTGCAGTCTGATGGCAAATAAAGAGCTTAAGAGGCAACTTGAGAACACAATATGAGTTTTCCTGCCCACCTGAAAGGCAAGTTACACTTCCTTTCACTCCAGTGTCGGCTTTTCTTCAACTGCAACAGTCATAACTTCACCTTTGTACCAGGGAATATGGAAGAGCTGTTTAGCTTGTATTTCTGGCAGTGCTCCTCTTCAAAAAAAAAAATCACTCAGCACACATTGATTGCGCTCAACAAAAATCAAGGGGAAGCTTTGTAAATCCCTGGAAATGTTCCACTCGGAGTCTCCAAAGCCGCTTGCTCTGGGAATGATGAACAAATTGTCTTACAACAGCCCACACTGTACACACGGTTGGCAGGGAGGGTTTTTAATCTCCTCAGCTGAAGACAGTAGTTGCATCCTTTTAGCTCCAATAAAAATACTAGAACTCCAATTATTCCTTGATAGGAAATTTCCAATTTCAAGCCGCATCTGTTTAAAATTTCCTTTTCCTAATCCATCCGAGAACTGTTATCACAAGGCTGCAAAGAGCCACCGAAGGAGTCATTCAGTGTTTTGCAATGAAAAACAAACACAAAAAAAAACCCCACACAAAACCCAAGAAACGAGGGAGAAACTGCAAAACACGAGGAATGAAATGCAATCCAGCACAAACTGGGGAACACAGCAGCCTTGAATACACAGCACTCCACACACCCCAATTCCTCATTAACAATCATAAAACTACCCCAGAACAAAGACTTGCCACTGTAGTTTTCTGTTAGAGGTCAAAAATTAAGTTGTGAGCGACCTATTATATTTATTTATTTCCACGCTGGTTGCCTTGCTGGGAATGAGTGTGTAGCAGGTGCATTTATATTTTTAACCCTTTCCCAAAGCACTGGTGATGGAACAGAAGTATTCTGTCAACTTGGAAGTGACTGTCCCCGTGGAGCTGCAGCTGCCCAGCCCCAGTCCCGCTCACTGCTCTGGGCTCCTGTGAGCATCAATGACCCTCTGTCGTTTCACCCGGTTCATGGCCCTGTTTTCTTCATACTGCAAGGCAGAGAAGGAAATGAATACATCAGCTGCCATCATTAGACAGACATGTCAAATATAAAAGTGTAGAGAGAGTTCATTACCCAGGAACAGAAACAATATATGCAACTGATGCATTAGACAGACAGCTCTTGT